TCCTCCCTTCTGTTTTGTCTTTTTCCTCTTCTTCTGAAATACGAAGAAGAGAGAGAGAGTAGGAGACGCAGAGGAAGAAAGACACTTCGGAAAAGACAATATTTATGCGGTGTTCGTCAGCCATCTGCTTGTGCTCCTGGAGAGGAGTTTTTCTTCGGAAGTGAGCAGAAGCAGAAGACGTACAGTAGAACATTTTCCACGGGTTTTGAAGATTCTAGAAGACCAAGAATGCTAGGAATCTGAATTTTGGGATTTCTAGATTACTAAACTTCTGGAATTCCTTGATTTCTGAAATTCTAGAATTTCAGGATTCTTATGTTCTTGGATCTTAGATTCTTAGGAATCTATATTATTAGATTATTAGATTCCTGGATTCCTGGATTCCTGGATTCTTAGATTCCTAGGTTCTTAGGATTCATAGATTCTTTGGATTCTTAGATTCTTAGATTCTTAGATTCTTAGATTCTTAGATTCTTAGATTCTTAGATTCTTAGATTCTTAGATTCTTAGATTCTTAGATTCTTAGATTCTTAGATTCTTAGATTCTTAGATTTTGAGATTCTTCGATTTTGAGATTCGAAAAAATAGAAATTTGGAATTTTCGGGTCATAATGAAAAACAAGACGATTTTTCATGCCTAGAAAGATTTTCTCTCCGTCTCTAACGTCTTCTGATTTCTAATGTCTCTCTTCTCTTTACAATGATTCATTTAGAAAGAGAGAGAGAGAGAGAGAGAGAGAGAGAGAGAGAAAGGAAAAGTTTGCCCGTCGCCTCCTCCTCCTGCTGTTGGCATTCTTCGGCCAAAATAGTTTACATAAACAAATTTTCCCTTTACCCCATCCTAGAAAGGCTTTGTGGAAACAAAAACCTAGATGGCACTTTATTGGCCAGAAAAAAGACCGCGAAATTTGGATTTTCGAATCTACAACACTACAAAATTTTATTACTTTCGCCTTAGAAGCCCCTGGACCAGCAGAATTATAGAAATTGGAATTTCAGCCTTAATTAGACCCTTTTCGAAGGTAATGATCCCTGATTCGTTATCTTCTCTCTCTCTCTCTCTCTCTCTCTCTCTCTCTCTCTCTCTCTCTCACTCTCTCTTTCCCTCTCATTGGATAGTTGATTCGATGATACGATGATCTTGGTGTGTGTCCCAAACGTTTTTTTCACTTCAATTCCTCATGAATAGCTTTGAAATTTCAAATTCCCGCCAGCCACTTCTCCACGAGGAGTACAAAATCGAAAGTTGTATTTATCAACGTTTTTCGGGTTTAAAATCACACATCCTGAACTTAAGGCTTTTTTTCTTAAAATTTCAACAAATTTCCTCATAAATAGCTTCAAAAATTCAAATTCCCGCGAGCCACTTGTCCACGAGGAGTACAAAATTGAAAAGTGAATTTGTTAACGTTTTTCGGGCTCAAAGCCGTTTTTACTAATTTTATAAGTTGATTTTTTGAATGCTGGATTTCAGACTGTGTCTAGAAGCTGTCGCTTTACTTCAAAAATTCAAATTACCGCCAGCCATTTATCCACGAGGACTACAAAACCCAAAAATTGGATTTTTCCAACTTTTTCGACCTCAAAATCGCTCAAAACACACAATTCTGATCCTCTACATGTCTCTAGCTTGACCATCCAGACAAGAATCTATGCAGAGACTGCAATCCGTCCAGAGTTTTCCACACTTCTCGGTACATCTGATCTTTCGAAACGTCTTCGGAAGTCTCTAGCAGAAGTTCCACGTCGTCAGCACGGTTCCGCCCCATCATCATCATCATCTCATTGTCATTGTCACCTATAGAAATACAGAAAAAAAAGAAGAAGACACATTTCTTCTCATTTTTTCCCCCAAACTACTCCACGCGTTTTTCATCTTCCTTCCTCTTTGTCACCTCTCGAGAAGAAGAAGACGTTGTCGCCCGTGTCGAAAAAGACGACGGGGCATAATTGTTTCGGTGTCTCTGCGTCTCTCTATCTCTAGCCACTTCAAGAAGAAGAAGTCGAGAGGAGGATTCTGATTACCTCGGGGTTTTTTAGAAATTAGAAAGTCAAATTCCAAAGATCGTTGGGTTTTCAAATACTGTACACTTTGAGCTCCATTATCTCAATTTCTACAAGAGGTATCGAAAATCTGTCAACTGTAAAAACGTTACTGATACCATGATAAACATTTTTTCAGTTGACAGATTTTCGATATCTCTCATAGAAGTTAAGATAATGTAGCTTCTATTAGAGTGGTTACGGTATTTTTAAAATATCTAAAAATGACCTTATCAACCTTCTCTTGGGATCTTGAATCGTTTTTCCAAAAGTAGGTCATCTAATGATATATCGCTAAGTTAGCGACGCTATCATTGATGATTACTGGATAGTTTAAAGGCGCAGAGAAGTAGGGATTTTTTTCCTTTTTGTTTTCTTCCTCCTCTTGTTTTTTGGATCAATTGGTTTTCTCCTTCTTCCACACCACTACACACTTATAGGATATTATCGTTTATTGTGTCATTTAGTGGCTATTAGTTAGTAACTGACTTGAGGTGTTTCTGGTTTATAAAGAGACACTTTTAGTTAACGATTTTAGCCAAGGCAAAATACTTCTGACAAACAGTCCAAAACGATTTCTTGGGATTACTCCAAAGTTTTGGAGTTCAAAAAAACCGGAATTCCTGATTTTTCGACGTTTTTCTGTTTCAAACTTTGTGGTGCATATTCTACAGTAACCACTAACAAGCATGGTCCAAAAAACCTATTTCGTTCGATACTCAGAACCCAGGCTTCAGCTGGTTGGGTACTGGTCCGTCTATGGTCCGTCTATGTTTGGTCCATGGCTAACCTACGGGCCGTCTATGGCCCGCCGAAGATCCTTCTATGGTCCGTCTATGGTCCGTTTATGGTTAATCTATCGGCTGTCAATGGTCCGCCTATGGTCCGTCAAAGATTCGTCTATGGTCCGTCTATATTTCGCTTGTGGTGCATTTTCGGGCCGCCTTTGGTCCGTCTATGGTACGCCTATCGTCCGTCTAACGGTCCGTTTAATGGCCCCCGTATGGAAATGAAGATTTTTTGATTTGAGTATTTTGGGAGCTCGCTAGCCAACAGAAAAGTTCAAAATGAACCTTTTTGATCGGGTACTTAGAAACCAGGCTTTGGATGATTGGTACTGGTCCGCATGAGGTCCGTTTATGGTCCGTCTATGGGCTGTCTAGGGTCCATCTAATGGTTCGCCTGTAATCCGTCGATGGTACAGTTACGGGCCGGGGTGTCTATAGTTTCTTAAAGATCTGTCACTGGTTCGACTATGATCCGTCTATGGTCCGTCTGATGGCTCCCGATATGATAATTTTGGGAGCTTGCCATCCTGTACTTTAAACTTTGAGCTCAATTATCTCGGTTCCTATACGCGATATCAAAAAGTGGTCAACTGACAAAATGTTATTGATATTATGATAAACATTTTATCAGTTGACACATTTTTGATATCTATTTTAGGAGCCGAGATAATTGAGCTCAAATATTGCAGTTTTTTGTGCCTTTTCAGCTGTTTTTCCAGAGGTCATTTTCAGGTCATTTTCACCTGCTGATTTTTGTGAAATGTTGTTTTTTCTATACACATTTTTTCTCGTTTCCTCCTCCTCGTCCTCTTTTGAAATCAATCATGTATAGTGTCTTGTATCGGTCTCCGGGGGTTTTCAAAAAAGAAAACTTCTTTTTTCTCCTTTTTTTTCTCACACCTTTTTAGTGATTTTTTAACATATCAATAGGAGAAAAATCACTATTTTCAGAGTCTTTGTAGCTTGGCTGATTCCGTGGGAAAGTACTGAAATTTTTGAACAATCGGTTTTCTGGCACTTTTAGCTGATTTAGGATTTTTAAGTCAATTTTGGGCTATTTTAAGTCATTATAGACGGATTTTCAAACTATTTTAAGCTATTTTAGACCAATTCAAGGTTAATTTTAGGATTCTGAGCTCTCTTTTTTCCTTCAAAATTTCCCGAAAATTCTATTTTTAGACTTTTGACATTTTGCCAGTTGAGCACACACACATGTCAATCAGAGCTCGAAAATAGGGGAAAAAAGACAGGAATCTGAAATTTTGAACTCTAGAAGTCTGGAAAATGGGTATGAGCTAGTGAGAAAATATTATAGCTCAATTTGAATTTGGCGCCATTTTAGCTGTAATTGGTCGGTTTTAAATTTTGAACTTTATAGCTAGCTAACCTTTGATAGCTAGCTAGCTCATCTCCAGCTTTTTAGCTTCACTTTCTCTCTCTCTCTCTCTCTCTCTCTCTCTCTCACTCTCTCAATTGGCTGATTAGATGATACGATGATCTCTACTACCTGTCTCAACTTTTTGGGTGTGTCTCAAACTTGAAATTCCAACTAATTTCCTCATAAATAGCTTTGAAATTTCAAATTCCCGCCAGCCACTCCTCCACGAGGAGTACAAAACCGAAAGTTGTATTTTTCCAATTTTTAGGACTCAAAATCATTTTTACTAATTTAGAAGTTAATTTTTTGAATGCTGGATTTCAGGCTGTGTCTAGAAGCTGTCGCTTAGCTTTGAGAATTCAAATTCCCGCCAGCCACTTGTCCACGAGGAGTACAAACCCAAAAATTGGATTTTTCCAACTTTAATGGCTCAAAATCATGCATCCTGAATGAACTCATGGAATTTATTTTTTTGAAATTACAACTAATTTCTTCATAAATAGCTTTGAAAATTCAAATTACCGCCAGCCATTTATCCACGAGGAGTACAAAGCCAAAAATTGGATTTTTCCAAATTTTTCGACCTCTAAATCACTCAAAACACACAATTTTCATCCTCTGCCTGTCTCTAGATAGCTAGCTAGCTCATCTCCAGCTCATTAGCTTCACTTTCTCTCTCTCTCTCTCTCTCTCTCTCTCTCTCTCTCTCTCTCTCTCTCTCTCTCTCTCTCTCCTATAAAATTGCTTCCCGTTCCTCCTGAATAAGTGCATTTTTCCTGTTTTTTTTTTTCATGCAAAAGTACTCCTCACTTCCCATTCAAGTATACTTTTCCGCTTCACTGAACAGAAGTGGAAAGAATTTTTTTCCGCATTTTTTTGAATGCATATCTTTTTCGTTAGAAGTTTGAATTTTCGGGTTTCTCAAATGCGCTCTATTGAGAATTATCTTGAATTTCGAAAAAAAAATCGGATTTTCCCGATTTTTACAATTTTGATTTAGTAAAAATTGTTGGTTTATCAATAGAGCATATTTGCGGAATCTCGAAAAGAAAAATTTTCTGAAAATTTTGAAAAATCTGAAAATGTGATGCTTCAGGTGTGAACAAGAGTGTGGCGAGGAGGCGTGGCGTATCGCATGCTGCTCGAGAGTCGGAAAGATTGCCATTTGTGTCATGTCCATTGCCATACTGTATCTTATCATATCAGGTAACGCAAATTCGCTCTAATGAGAGTTTTTGAAATTTTTGAGAACATTGAGTTTTTGGCGGTTTTTTTGGTCCAAATTTTGATGAAAATTCAAATTTCCCGCGACGAGATCTTGAAAATTCGCAATAGAGCATGTTTACTACTTCCAGCGTTGACACCGACAGAGAGCACACACAAAGCAGCGGATCTCGACGTACCAAGGGCGGGCATCAATTTGACACGGTGAGGATTTTGAATTTTAAAGTGAAATTCAAAAAAATAAAAAATTCTGAAAAAAGAGAAAATTTTCAGTCAAAAAAAGGAAAATCGAAATTTTTTGAATTTTTGTGAAAAAAATTTTTTTTTTTTAATTTCAAAAACAAAGAAAAAACTGGAAAAATGCGAAAAATTTCAGTCAAAAAATGGTGAAAATCGAGATTTTTCAAAAAATTTCAATTTTGAGATTTTGAAAATGCGCTCTATTGAGAAAACGCGAAATTTATGAGGACCTTTGAAATTTATGAGATTTCGAAGAAAAATTTTTCCGAGAAAAGTGGGCGGAGCCTAAATTGCAAGTTTCGGCCAGTGAAAGCAAAAACGCTCTATTCTCAGAAATTTCCGAAATTTTCGAAAAAATTTAGTTTTCTAGAATTTCGGTCTACCAAACACCCCGATTTTTCTCGAAATTTTCAAAATTCTCTCAATAGAGCGAATTTGCATTATGATACCAAAAAGGCTGCAGACGCGCTCCATTGCTTAAATAGCTTCAACTCCTTCTATTTGAAAAAAAACCCCGAATTTCCAATTTCTAACAAAAAATTCAAATTCCCTCCTTTTTTTCCAGTGCCGTTTTTTTCTTTGAAATTTCGGGTATTCTCAATAGAGCACATTTGCAAAAACATCATACATTTCAATTTTTTTTCAAAAGATGTTTAAAAGCTTCTTCAAAGCGTTTCTAATGAAAAACAGCTGCAAATGCGCTCCATTGCTAAAATACCATGAACACTTTAAAAATAGAAGTCCACCCTATACTTGTATTTTGAGCTTAATTATCTTGGTTCCTATAAAGATATCAAACATTTGTCAACTAATAAAATGTTCCTGATAATGTGACAAACATTCTTTCAGTTGACCACTTTTTGATATCTTTTATAGAAATTGAGATATAAGAACTCAAAGTTGGCGATGCGAATGACCTCCTATTAGAGGTAATACGGTAGCTTTAACTCCTCCTACTTTAAGCACACCATGTGATTATCAGCTCATTTCTAGGCCATTTTACCATGATGGCCTAGAAAATTCAACTTGCAAAAGTCAGGCCATCATGTTGACATGGCCTATAATGAAACCTGAAAACCCCAAATTTTTCCAGTGCCAACCAAGTGCTAACCTCCCTCTGCGATGCCTATGAACGTGGCGACGTATCTGGGGACTCGTGTAATCGTCTGTGCTACGATCGGAATTGGCTCGTCACAGACTTCTACGAAGGCCACAAAACGGTAGTAATTGTCAAAGACGGCGGCCAGACGGCGGTCTACAAGTCCACCAAACCATTTATGAACGATTTCGACGAGCCGCAGGATCATCTAACCGATGCGCAGTTCTCGGATCGTGTCGTGGATGTAGTGAATAATGAGTTGCGGCTAGGATGGCCCAAGCACTACAGTAGGCACTTAATGGAGACAGTTTGGCCGACACTATTAAGGACCAAGGGGGAAGCAATGTCCAGGGCGGACCGTCGATCACTTTGGGCCTTGCTAAAACAGCCGGAATTCATTCTATTCCGAGTTCTACCACTGACACGTGTCACACCGAAACTCATTGGGACTTGTGGTCATATGTATCAAACCGAGTCCCTCGTGGCATTCAAAATGAAGGGGTACTATACGAATTTGAAGGCGAAGATATTGGTTCATGTGATGGGAACACTCAAATTGTTATATGAGTTTTTGGATGAGCCGCTGCAGTGGTGTGATGTGCGATTTGATAATTTGGGACTGTCAGCGGATTATCCGAAGAGGTGAATAATATAATTCAAAAATTCAGAAATTCGAAAACTCAGAATTACAAACTTCGGAAATTCAGAAATTCAGAAATTCAGAATTTCAAAAATTCGAAAATTCAGAAATTCAGAACTTCTAATTTTTCTAAATTTCAAAAGTTCAAAAATTCAAGTTTCGGAAAATCAGAAGTTCAAAAAGTCAGGAATTCAAAAATTCCAAAATTCGAAAACTCAGAATTACAAATCTCGGAAATTCAGAAATTCAGAAATTCAGAATTTCAAAAATTCGAAAATTCAGAAATTCAGAACGAACTTGTCCACGAGGAGTACAAAATTGGAATTTTAAAAATTTTTTAAAATTTGACCTAATAATCGATTTTTCAACTTTAAAAAATCAGCTTTGTTTTCTGTAGAAAACGCGCTACACCGATATTTTTTCCCCGAAAAAATCCGCCGAAAATTCGAAAAAAAATTTGAACTTGTCCACGAGAAGTACAAAATCTTTTTCGGTTTTTTTCTCGATTTTTCAATACTTTCCAAAGTCCAATGGAGCGAATTTTCAATTTTTAAAAAATTTTTTGACCCGGAAATTCGAAATTTCTTGAAAAACTTGTCCACGAGGATTACAAAATTGGAATTTTCAAAATTGTCGAAAATTGATCTGAAAAATCGATTTTTTCAAATGTTTTTTTTTTATTTCAGATTCGTTCTAATGGATGGCGATATGGTTTATACGAAATCCAAGCTCGATTCTTTGCTAAAAGGCCGCCCGTGTGAAACGGATGACGACTGTAAAATTGGCGATTGTACGGCTCGATGCACGGCGAATATGGTGTGCTCGTCGAGGAGCAATGGCAATTTGGAGGTAAGATTCTTTTCAAGCGAAAAATTTTACCCAAAAACTCGAAAAAATCGCTGAAAAATAAACATTTTTCAAATTTAAATTTTGAACTTGTCCACGAGGAGTACAAATTTTTTTTTTCAAAATTTCCCAATTTTTTCAGGTTTTCTGCGACAAACTGGTCAACAAACTGTTCGCAAATCAATGGTCGAAAAATAACAAATATTTGGTCGCGTGTCGAGATACGGGACGAAATATCACCACTCGGCTCAATGAGCTCAGGCTCACATGGTCCTGGAATCTTCCCGACGTTTAGTTATTCGTTTTTTGTGGAAAATGCGCTCTATTGAAACTTTTTTTGCAAAAAATTCGAAACAAAATTCAAACTTGTCCACGAGGAGTACAACATTTGCAAGTTCCTATTTTCAAAAAAGTCCAATGGAGCGCATTTTCATCAGTATTTTTTTTGCCAAAACTCATCTGGTGTCAATTTTCTCTTCCCCTGGTGCTCCTCATCATTTTTTTGCCCCAAATTCATAATTACCGTAAAAAAGCATAATTATTATCAAAAAAGTACTGTAAATGTCTGTTTTTTTCAAATTTCCCGGGTTCGTCATTTGTTTTCAAAAGATTACTGTACCATTTTTTGCTCTTTTTCTCTCTGCTCTCTCTCTCACTCATTCACACTCATTTTGTACCTCGTTTTGTGTTACGGGTCTCTGCAATGTGAAATATCGATTTTTTTGGTTTTTTTTTTGAAAAAATTCAAATAAACATATTAAAAATTGCCTATTTTGTGTATTGCGTACCAAGCATCAGATCGTACGACATTATAATTTTTTTTTTCATTTTCGGACGAGGGAAGAAAAAGGCAATAAATATAAAACACAAGGTGAATCAAAACATGATTATTGATTTTTGTCTTTTGGGGGGGGGGCTTTTTGGGGGCGGGGCTTAATTTGTTACCGGTTTTTTTGGGGATTTGGGGGCGGGGTTTTGGAAGAAAAGTGGGCGTGGTCAGGACACGGATAAAGAGATAGGGAGCTAGGGAGAATTGTACAAAATTTGGATTCTAGGATTTTTTTAGAGGGGATTTTTGAAAAATTAGGATTTTCAGAATTTTCAGAGTTTTCTAGATATTTCTGGAAAAAATTTTTTTTCAGAAAATTCTTTTTTTTTGAATTTTTGACCATTTTTAAGATCTAGAAACCCAGGTTTCCGGATAATTTTTTTCCATAAAAATGAAAAAAATTTTTTAAAATTTCTAAAAATTCAAATTTTCAAAAAAAAAAAAATTTTTTTTCGAAAATTTCTGAAATTTCCAGACAAATTTTCAGCTTTTCTGTCTCAAAAAAATAAACTAATTTTTCAAAAAAACAAAAAGGAAAAATGATACAAAAAGAACAGGGGAAGCTTCTGGAGACAAAAAAAGTGGGCGGAGTCGAAGTGGGCGGGGCTTAAAAACTATTTGACAGAAAAAAGGGGAACCCCGATTAGATGGGGAACTTTAAAGGTGCATAATAAAACAGATATATATATATATTAATAACATTAAAACTTTCTCTTTTTTTCTTTCTCGGAATTTTAAATTTTACATGAAATTTGAATTTTTGGTTGGTTAGGCTCCGCCCCTTTTTCAACGGGGCGGAGTCTATTATTAAAGGGGGGCGGATAAAAAATAGATATTTCTACATCTGATGAAGGCGTACAAGCTCCAGAATCGAAATTGGAAGATTCACGTCTTCTGAAGATGTTGATGACGTGGTGGCATTTCCAGACGGGCGAATTGTTAGAGAATGAGCAATGATGTAGGCGAGACACGAGACCCATTCCGTGTGAATTTCCTCTGATGATGACGAGTTGATTATCGATTGATATTGATTTTCAGTGTTGGAGGGTTGCTGGAAATTTCAGAAAATTTTGGAGATCGAAAATTGACAACTATGAGGCCTGCAAATTGTTATTTTTAGGCTCAAAAATCGATATTTCCAGTTTTTTCTTGAAAATTTCGAAAATACCAAATTTGGCTTTAGAATTGCTATTTTTTTGGGACTAAAATTCTCAATTTTTGGAAATAAAAATCCCAATTTTGAGTACAAAAACCTCATTTTGAGACCTTAAAACCTCATTTTTTGGGCTCAAAAATCTATAATTTTCTCTTCAAAAACCTTACTTTTTGAGCCTGAAAAATGCTCGATTTTTGGACATAAAAGTCTCAAAAACCATATTTTTGGTCATGGAAATCCACATTTTAAAGCTGAAAATCGATATTTCTGGACCTAAAAATCCATATTTCCGGGCTCAAAATCTCACTTTTTGGGGTCTCAATAACTCAATTTTTGAGCCCGAAATTCTCAAATTTTGGCTTCAAATCTCCGAATTTTTGGCTTAAAAATCTCACTTTTTGAGCGTGAATTCTCAATTTTTTTTTGCTTGAAAATCATCCTATTTGGTTCTAAAAATCCATATTTTTAAGCTGAAAATCGATATATCTGAACCTAAAAATCGATATTTCCTCTAAAAAACTTTTGCGTCTAAAAATGCCTAGTTTGGCTCTAAAAATCTCAAAATTTGGTTCAAAAAATCCATATTTTTTACTCAAAAACCTCAAAATCTCACCTGATCAACCAACAAAATCATCCTTTCAAACATCCGTCGAATCGTCATCGCCGCCGGCGTCAGACTCTCGTTCGTCGCCTGCGACGCCGCCGAATTCGCCGAAATTTGCACATTTTTCGCAATTTGACTACCGATTCCATTGTTGAGCGTCGAGAAAACAATGGGATTCAGAACGCGGAGAATCAGCAGCGCACTCAACGTTCGCTTCACCAAATGACTCTCCTCTCCACCGTCGAAACGCGCTCTAGCGCACTCGGCAGCCAAAACTAGAAGACGTGACGCCAGAGGGATCGTTAGAAGACGTTGATCGACGAATTGGACGAGAAGTTCGACGGCGGCGTCTGGGGATTTTAGGGATTGAGAGAATTGCGAATTTTCGAGAAGAAATTCGTCGAATGGCGTTTTGAAGAGGTGTCGGAGGCATTGGGTGATGATGCCAGTTGCTAGGGAGTCCTTCCGGAACACGTCTTCTGGTGTTGACGTCGTCAGAACGTCGTGGATCACTTTTCTGGAAAAACATTTTTGTTTAGGATTCTCCAGAACTATTTATAACCGTCTAGAACCTTCAAAAGCTCTAGAAAGCTTCAAAACTTTCTAAAACCTTCTGAAAACTTTCAGAACATTCCAGAAGCTTCCAGAACTTTCCAGAAGGTTCCAGAACCTTCTAGAATCCTCAGATCCATAAGGAACCTTCCAGAAGGTTCCGGAACCTTCTAGAACCATCTGGAATATTCTAGGTCCTTCTGGAATGCTCCAGTACTTTTTAGATTGCTCTAGAACCTTCTAAAAAACTGCAACACCTTACAGAAGCTTCTAGAACCTTCTGGAATGCTCTAGAACTTCCTGGGACGCTCTAAAATGTTCCAGAAGCTTTCAGAGCCTTCTAGAGTCCTCAGAATTATTGGGAGCCATTCCAAAACCTTCTAGAACCTTCTAGAATTATCTCGAATTTTCTAGATCTTTCTAGATCTTCTAGAACCTTCTAGAACCTTCTGAAAACTTCCAGAACGTTCCAGAAGCTTCTAGATCATTCTAGAACCGACTAGAATCGTATGCAACTTTCTAGACCACTTTAGAACCTTTCAGACGCCTCCAGAACTTGCTAGAATGATTCAGTATGACTCCGAATCTTCTAGAATCTTCACCTGATCACCGGGCTCATCATTTGCGGACTGAGCGCGTATAAATGTGAAATGCACGAATACATAAATTGCTTCAAGTGGAGTGGAAGCACCTGCGATGGCCATGACAACAGTTGCGATGGGGATTCTCTGAAAACATCGATTTTTCAGAATTTGAAATATTAGATTTGGCGGGAATTTAAATAATCGGCTTCAAGAGCCAAACGCGCTCTATTGCACCTCAGATTGGTTTGGCGGGAATTCAAAAATTCAATGTTTTTAAATGGATTCTCAGCAGAGCGCGTTTTTATTTTTGACTTCGAAAAATTGTCGAAATTTCCATGTTCGCTTTATTGACAATTTCTCTGAATTTAGTAGAAAATGCGCTCCAATGGACTTAAACTACATCCGGACGACAAGTGTGTCTATTAGAGCGCATTTCCAACCAATTTTCCTCAGAAATTCCACAAATTCTCACTGGAGCGCACTTACCTCAACATCTCTAACATTGGCCGATAGCGTTCCAGCGGCAGCACGGGGCACCGTATCCGGTGTGCTCGAAACACGAAGCCAGCCGTGTCGACGGATTGTTGAATGACACTTTCATTGTTTTCGTTTAGGCTGACGGTTACTGTAGTTCCACACGGGCGGCCTTTTTTCGTTTGAGACGAGTGGGAGAGCATTGAGAGTTGAATGTTTGTCGAGCACGTCGGAATGCACCTAAAAGTTCGGAATTTATGCTTTTCAGGTTTAGTTTTAGGTCATTTCAACATGGTGGCCTAACTTTTGCAAGTTGAGATTTCTAGGCCACCCTGGTAAAATGGCCTAGAATTGGTCTGATATGCACCTGGTGTGTTTTCTAGGCCATTTCAACATGGTGGCCTAACTTTCGCAAGTTGAGCTTTCTAGGCCACCATCGTAAATGCACTAGAAGACACTAGATGAATGCTATTCCATTTCTAGGCATTAAACCTTGGTGGCCTAGAAAACACCGCTTGCAAAAGTTAGGTCACTATGTTTTGCATAGAAAGCACACCACACGGCCTCCCCAGCTCCCAAAATGAACTGCAAGCCTTTTTCTCATCGGAGCGCGGTTGCGCGCGGCGAAAATTTTTTTTTTGAAAAATTTTGCACTGAAAACGCGGTTTTCAGCGAAATTTTCTCATTTTTCGACAATTTATTCAATTTTTCGTCCATAGAAATTGTTAGACAGGCTAAAACACACATTTTAAGTACAAAAGCAGCTAGTTCCGACAAAAAATGAAAGAGGAGATCGACTTTTAAGCATTTTTCGAAAAATTGCGGTATCTTTTCTCACCGCGAGAGGTTTTTATCGAACAATAGCTTGAAACACTCAAAAATAGATTCTTTGCAATAATTTAACACAATAAATTCTTAAAACACCGAACAATTTGAGAGATTTTCGGTTTTCGAAAAATGCTTAAAAGTCGATCTCCTCTTTCATTTTTTGTCGGAACTAGCTGCTTTTGTACATAAAATGTGTGTTTTAGCCTGTCTAACAATTTCTGTGGACGAAAAATTGAATAAATTGTCGAAAAATGAGAAAATTTCGCTGAAAACCGCGTTTTCAGTGCAAAACTTTTCAAAAAAAAAACTTTCGCCGCGCGCAACTGCGCTCCGATGAGAAAAAGGCTTGCAGTTCATTTTGGGAGCTGGGGAGGCCGTGCACCAGGTAAATGCAGGTTATTTCTAGGCCACCAAGATAAAATGGTCAAAAAACACACTAGATGAGTATTAGCCCATTTCTAGGCCATTTCAACATGGTGGCCTAACTTTTGCAACTTGATTTTTCTAGGCCACCATGCTAAAATGGACTAGAATTGGTCTGATATGCACCTGGTGTGTATTCCAGGGCATTTTAGCATGCTGGCCTAACATTTACATGTAGGGTTTTCTAGGCCACCATGGTACATGCACTAGAAGACACATTAGATGAATTCTAAGCCATTTTCACGCCTTAAACCTTGGTGGCCTAGAAAACTACCTGAAAAAGTTCGGCCACTAGGGCAAATGACCTAGAAATCGCTTAGTGTTGTTTCTAGGCCATTTCAGCATGGTGGCCTAATTTTTGCACCTTGAATTTTCTAGGCCACCAAGATGAAATGGTCAAAAAAGCACACTAGATGAGTATTAGCCCATTTCTAGGATATTTCAACATGGTGGCCTAACTTTTGCAAGTTGAGTTTTCTAGCCCACCATGGTAATTAGAAACCTACGGAATCACAAATTTCGAGTCAATGACAACTGTCGCCAACTCGTTCGGTCCCTTATTTCCGGCCGGTGCAAACGAATTCGACACGCCCACTTTGACGCCGTTCACCGAGACGCACGCCGAGTAGAATTGCTCAGTTTTCAGCGAGTCCAGCCGGTATTTATCAATTTCCACTGATAAGAATGAGACTTGTGAGTTGGGTTCGCCCACTGATATCGTTCCTTGGAGCATTGGCGGCGGCACGTCTTGATAGATTGTACGACTTCTGCAAAATGCGCTCTATTGGACATTGGTTTGGCGGGAATTTGAAGTTTTGAATTTTTGAATTTCTGAATTTCCAAATTCCACAAATTCTCAATTTTTGCGCTTATCAGAAAAACGATTTCTACAAAAAAAGGAAAGAAAATGCAAATTCGCTCTACTGATAATTTCTCTAATTTGAGTAGAAAATGCGCTCTAACGAACTAGATGCACCCGCTGAAGGCAAGTATGTCTACTAGAGCGCGTTTCCAACCAATTTTTCTCGTTTTTTCGCTCAAGTTTCTCGAATTCTCACTAGAGCGCATTTACTTACCGCAACATTCGAACCCATTTTAAAAATGTGGAAAACGGGCGGAAACAGACATAAAGTGTCGGTTGATTCGATGGAAATGGCGGCGCCAGGAAGAGACATCCGTCGGCGGAGAATACGGATTCGTCGAGCCAAAACATTGTACACGTGGATAGATTCAGCTGTTGACGCAGTTTTGAATTCTGCAAAAATTAGTTGGAAGAGGTTCTTGGTGGCCTAGAATTCACAAAAAACGGTGAAAAATGAGCCGGAATGAGCCTTTTTGAGCAAGGTGGCCTAGAAATCCCAAAATGTTCGGCCACCGGCTAGAAATTGATCGGAAATTCGTTGAAAATTTGCCACATTTTTTGTATTTCAGTTTTTTTTACAAAAATAGCGAAAATTTTCAAAAAAAAACTTCGGTGGCCTAGAAATCCAAAAATTTTAGAAAGTTCGGCCACTGAGTTTTTTGGCTGGAATTTGTCGGAAACCTGACTGAAACTAGCGGAAATAAGATAAAAATTACCCATTGGCCCATATTTTTTCAAAAAAGCCAAAGTTTTCAAAAAAAAATTCGGTGGCCTAGAAATCCAAATATTTCCAAAAGTTCGGCCACTTTCGGCTGGAATTTCTTCGGAAATTTGGCTAAAAATAGGAAAAACTGAAAAAAGTCACAATATGGTCGTTTTTTCGGAAATTTTTGAAAAAAAATTCGGTGACCTAGGAATCCAAAATGTTCAAAAAGTTCGGCCACCAAGGTTTTCAGCCTAAAATTGGCCGATAACTAGTTGGAAATCGAAGGAAATTGGTCTATTTGATCTTTTCCACATAAAACCAAAATTTTTGAAAAAAAATTCGGTGGCCTAGAAAACCAGAAAAACTCGGCCACCAAGGTTTCGGGCTGGAATTTTGTAGAATTTTAATTTCTCAAAAAGTCGAAAATTTTTGAAAAAAAAAATCCGGTGGCCTAGAAATCCGAAAAACTCGGCCATGGATTTTTTTCGATATTCAGCGCGCTCACCTGTGAATCGAAAACCGAGAGTTGTGATGATCCGCAAGGATTGTCGGACAGTGTCAGCCAGCAGTCTTTCCATTGTTTATCCTCTCGAGCTGCAAAATTTTGAATAGCTTTCTTGATGATTTTCAGCCATTTTTAGGTGATTTCAGACCATTTTTTCGGCTCAAAACACATATTACGGCTAATTTTCAGTCATTTTCAGCCAAAAACTCAAAAAATTCTCACATTTTCTCAGTGCCACAGTCGACGCGACGGTCGTCGCACTCGTGCTACTCGTCTCCGATAGCTCGTTGATGTCCTCGTAGTTGAAGCGATGATCAAACTGCAAAAACAACGCTCTATTGACAAAAACAACGATTTGGCAGGAATTCAAAAAATTCAAAAAAAGTTAATTTTGCGCAAAGGCATCTTTCTCAATGGAGCGCGATTCCTCTCACCATGTGCTCCGGGACTCCTGTCGAAATCGTGTTCGCTGGCGACGGCATCGCTGTCGACATGGAATTCGCTCCTGAAGGCGTCAGGAATGTAGAAGACGTTGTGGCTGCTGATGACGTGGCGACGAGAGCGGTGTCGATGGAAGCGCCGCGGAACATTCGACGAGTTTTCTGAAAAAGAGAGAAATAGTGTTGAAATAGGAGAGTTAGAGAAATTATTCGAAAAAAAAAAACTGATTTTAGGGGCATTCTAGGCTGAAAATCGTCTCGAAAAATCGACTTTCATGATTTTCAAAGGAGATTTCAGGCATTTTTAGGTTAAAAATCGGATTTTTTCAATTTTCAGAGCTTAAAAATTCCAGGCGCCACGTGGCAATACGGTTTTGTTTCGTTGATCAGGACCGCTCAAATTTTGGGACATTTTCAGCCGGAAAATCGGGAATTTCTGGCTTAAAAATTGAATTTTTTGAGTCGAAACCTCAAAATTGAAAATTTTCAAAAAATTCAGAAACCTATTATGCTTGTCTGAGAAAAAAAAGGTTAGAGAGTATTTTTTGCAGTCTGAATACGGTAGCGATATCGAAGCGGAGAGCCTAAATAGCGCATATTAAGTGGAGACGCAGACACTATTTCTCTGTGTCTCACACTTTTTCTTTTCAGACAAGCATAATAAAATTATCGATTTTTCCCAAATAAAATTCCGCATTTTCCGGAGAAAAAAAGCGCGCGCGGGGTAGATCGAAAAAATTTTAAAGGGAAATTTAATTTTAAATTTGAAAAAAATCAGAAAAACTAAAAATTTTAGGAAAAAAAATTTTACTGAAAATTTGAATTTTTTCGCTCAAAAATTCAAAAAAAAATTTTTTTCAACAATTTTCAGCTCTAAAAATTTCAAATTTCCCGCTGAAAACTAGTGTCGAAATGACCGAATTTCAGCCATATTTCAGGCAAATTGAAAACACAAAAAACCGATAAAAAAAGCGCAAAAAACAGCAAAAATGAATGGGGAAAATGTCAAGTGGGATCTTCATTTTTTGGTCGGGTTTTAAATGAGAAAACGGAATATTATTTTGGTTTTCTTCTGGAAATTTCTAGAAATTTCTAGAAATTTTCCAGCGAATTCTATTGCTTTTTGCGTAGAAAATTATTGCAAAAAATTCAATTTTTCTGGCTTAAAATTGAGCTGAAAAACTGACTGAAAATCATTAAAAATTCAAGATTTCAGAGTTAAAAACTCATTTTTAGGGTCCAAAATGCCCAATTTCAGAGTGAAAATTGTCATTTTTTGGGTCCAAGACGCATATTTGTATGCATTACAAGTCTCATTTTCAGGGTTCAATTTCTGTATTTTCAGCGTTGAAATTGCGATTTTTATGGTCGAAAAATTATAATTTTGGACCTCAAAATTAGAATTTTAGGCTCAAAAAATTCATCATTTTAGCGTTTAAAATCCCAACTTTAGGCTAAAAACTCGACGTTTCAGAACTTTTCTGCATTCTTGTATAGTGGTTTTTGCACACCAAATGAGCATTGCTATTTTCAATTTTGTGTTTTTCTGCTTTTTTATTCGTTCCCATCTACCGTACTACAAATAGTGTTCACACTCGGAATCTCTCAAAAAATCGAAAAAAAAATTGAAATTTTCAGAAACGATTCGCCGGTACTTCTAGACATCCTTTTTTGAAAATTTCAATTTTTTTTTTGATTTTTTGAGAGATTCCGAGTGCGACCGTATCACTATTTGGAGTACGGTAGATGATAAAGAATAAAAAAGCAGAAAAGCACAAAATTGAAATGAGCAATGCTCATTTGGTGTGCAAAAACCACTATGCAAGAATGCGAAAAAGTTCTGAAACGTCGTAGTTCCGAAACGTCGAGTTTTTAGCCTAAAGTTGGGATTTTCAGCGCTGAAACGATGAATTTTTGAGCCTAAAAATTCTAATTTCGAGGTCCAAATTATAATTTTTAGACCATAAAAATTGCAATTTCAGCGCTAAAAATACAGAAATTGAACCCTGAAAATGAGACTTGTGATGAATGAAATATGAGTTTTGGACCCAAAAAAAATACCAATATTAAGGTGGAAAATCGTCATTTTTGTCTCTAAAAATGACGATTTTTGACTTTGAAAATGGGCATTTTTGACCCTAAAAATGACTTTTTTAACCTGAAAACTCCCAATTTCTTACTCTAAAATCTTGGACTTTTAATGATTTCTAGTCAGTTTTTCCCTCAATTTTAAGCCAGAGAAAAATTCTGAAACGTCAGGTTCTGAAACGTCGCGGGGTCCAAAACTGAGTATTTCTAGGGTCAAAAATGCCCATTTTTAACTTTAAAATTGACATTTTTTGGGTCCAAAACTCTATATTTTCAGCATTACAACTCTCATTTTCAGAGTTCAAAATCACTATTTTTAGCCTCGAAATCGCCATTTTTCAGGTCAAAAATCCCTATTTTAGGCTCCAAATCCGTCAATTTCCGCTTAAAAATCACCTATTTTAAAACTCACATTTCTCAGGTTCTCTCTCAAGTTTCCAATGAATTTTCTCATAGTTTTAGAGAGAAATTTCTAGAATACCTCTAGAATGTTCTAGACTAGATATATCCCATAAAACTACCCACTCGAGTCTGTCCAATACCTAGAATCGCCTGATTACTCTGTTAGAGTAACTAATAGAAACCAAAAAAAAAAAACGGAAAATGGGAAAAATGTGTTGAGGAGGTGTACAAAGTCATCACATTGGGTGAAAGAAAGCCCAACTTATTCATGTGGAATGGAGGAAAAGAAGAAGAAGAGGACAGGTGGAAAATTTTGTTGAAAAATAGAGTTCGAGAGGATGATGATCCTTTAAATTAGAGTCCTCTTCTGATGACGTTGAGGGAAATTTGAGTACCAAAGTTTGAGAATTTCAGAATCTCCAAATTTCAGATTCTCATTATTTCAGAATCCCTGAATTTCAGAATTTCGGGAATTCAGAATTTTAGAATCCCAAATTTCAGAATCCCTGAATATTTCAGAATCTTAAAATCTCAAAGTTTCAGAATTTGAGACTTTTTAGAATTTCAGAATCCCTGAATTCCAGAATTTCATGAATTCAGAATCTTAACATCCCAAATTCCAGAATTTCAGATTCTCATCACTTCAGAATTCCTGAGTTTCAGAATTTCAGGAATTCAGAATCCTAGAATTCTGAAATTCCAGAATCCAAGAATTTCAGATTCTCAGAGATTCAGAATTCTAGAACTTCCAACTTTCAGAATTCCAGATGTTCAAATGCTTAGAATCCAACAAATTCAGATTCTCAGAATTTCAGGATCCTGGAATTTGGAAATTTCAGAACTTCCGATTGTCAGGAATTCAGAATCCTAGAATTTTTTAAAAATTAATTCAAAATTTTCAGAATCCTAGAATTCTGAAATTTTAGATTGTTGGAATTTCAGATTCTCATAATTCCAGAATCCCTAAATTTTAGAATTTCAGGATCTCCAAATATTAGAACTCCTTAATTCCAGAATTTCAGTAATTCAGAATCTTAGAATCCAAAATTTCAAAATTTCAGAATCTGCAGTACTTCAGATTCTCATAATTTCCGAATCTCTGAATATTTCAGAACCTTGAAATCTCAAAAATTCAGAATCTCAGAATTTCAGATCCTCAGGGATTCAGAACTCTAGAACTTCCAAAATTCAGAATTTTGGTATTTAGGAAAATCAAAACTTCAGAATCCTAGAATTTCAGAATCGCAGAATTCCAGGATCTTAGAATTTCGAAATTTCACGATTCCAGATATTCTGAAATTTCGAAATTTTTCAGATATTTAGATTCCAACAAATTCAGATTCTCAGAACTTCAGGATCGTAGAATTTCAGAATTAAAAATTTTCCGAATCCTAGAATTCTGAAATTTTAGATTCTAAGAGTTTCAGAATTTCAGAATTCCAGATGTTCAAATGCTTAGAATCCAACAAATTCAGATTCTCAGAATTTCAGGATCCTGGAATTTGGAAATTTCAGAACTTCCGATTGTCAGGAATTCAGAATCCTAGAATTTTTTAAAAATTAATTCAAAATTTTCAGAATCCTAGAATTCTGAAATTTTAGATTCTAAGAGTTTCAGAATTTCAGAATTCCAAAAAATCTGAGAACTTTGCCAACTACTGTAACTCTCCTCATAGAAAAGATACAGTATCCCAAATAGTATCATTTTGTAGTTCTCGAGGATACGGTAGAAAAACTCAAAAACTACAAAATGGTACTATTTGGGATACTGTATCTTGTCTATGAAGCGAGTAACAGTAGTTGGCTTCTCAGAAGTTCTCAGATTTTTGGAATTCTGAAAATTTGAAATTCTGATTCGGAAACTCTAAGATTCTGAAGAAGTTTGGAAACTTGTATCTTGTCCATGAGAAGAGTTACAGTAATTTTGAAGTTTCGATTGTTTTGAGTCTCCTCAACGTCATCAGCAGATCTTCAATTGAAAGGAGGAAAAAATGAAACGAAAAAAAAGTGAATATGAATTGAGATCGGTTGTTGTCTGTCACTTTTCAGATGTCTCTTTTTTTGAAAAATTAATTTTTTGCTCTCCCTTTCTTCTGTTTCTTTTCATCATTTCTTTATTCCCGGAGACGACACTGAATTCGTTATTAATCGGAGACGAATTTCTGCTCATTTTTTTTCCATTATGCGCCTTTAAATGCATTTTCAGCCACCAGCATGGAAAACGAGCTCTATTGCTAAAATGAACAATTTTAGGTAAAATTTTTGCGATTTCTAGGTGATTTTTAGCGGATTTTCATGTCATTTTTAGCTGGAAATTTTTGATTTCCATGATTTTTGGCTCATTTTTTCTTTTAATTTTCAACTTTTTTAACCCAAAATTGGTCGATTTCATGATTTTTGGCTCATTTTCAGCATTAATCTATTGATTTTTAGATTACTTTCGGTAGATTTTCATAATTTTGAGGCCATTTTCCACTATTTTTAGGTTATTCTTGGCCGATTTTCATGATTTTTTAATCATTTTAAAGCTATTTTTACCTCTTTACGCTCCTTTAACACATCATCGTACTGACTACTGCTCATTGACGCAATCGAGGTCTTCTCCGATGACGGTGGCCATCGGATTTCAGTTGTTGCCGATCGACCAGACGCCTTCCGTATTTGTTGCTGCTCCTCAGCACCATCACAAACGGCACGTGTCAACCGGACACCTCCCGAAATCGCTCGTTCACTGTATCTGCAAAACAAGTGCGCTCTATTGATAACTGGTGATTTTGGAAAAAAATTGGTTCTTCTGGGCGTAAAATTAGGCCTGCCAGAATCTTAAAAAATCGACAAATTTTTGTCGAAAATTGAAAAAAAAAGTGCCAATAATGCAAATGTGCTCTAATGATATCTTGATCTTTTCAGGTGGAAAATGCGCTCTGATGGACTTGAAGCTGTAAAAAACCGAATCTGTGGCTCAGCTATACCCTATTACGACGAAAAAATCGAGAAAAATCACCAAAAATGCAAGTTCGCTCTAGTGACAATTCTCACTAATTTGGTTCAAAATGCTCTCTAATGGATTAAAAACGATTTCTTTTGATTTTGGAGCTGAGGAAAGCTAATTTTCAAGTTTCAAAGCCGAATTTCGAAACTTTAAATTTCGCAAGTGCGCTCCACCGAACAAACCTCGCAACAACGTGTCCAATGGTGGGAAACGGTCGTCCAGCCAGACTAAATCCACGTGGCGGTGATCCGACGATCAGAAATTTCTCAATCAAATCGAATTGAGTTTTGACCAGTAGAGCGTAAGTGTCAGTGCCTTTTGACGACCGTCTTAGGAGGAAAGTGCCAATTGGATTGAATTGCAGCATTTCTTGGGTTACTGTATCATAGAAATACGGTAGATCGGATAGCGAGTCGACTGTGGAGATCTGGAACGAAAAATTGACTTCAACAACAAATTCAGCTAAAAAATGCAAATGTGCTCCATTGATAATTTGTTATTTTCATGTGGAAAACGCGCCCTGATAGACTCGAAGTTGTAAAAATAGAAATTGTGGCTTAGTTATACCATAATACGACGAAAAAAATCGAGAAAAATCGTCAAAAATGCAAATTCGCTCCATTGATAATTTGCTAATTTTAGGTGGAAAACGCGCTATAATGCACTTGAAGTTTTTGGAAACGCTTGTTCGTACCCTACAATGTCCAAAAACGCAAAAAAATCGACAAAAATGGAAATGTGCTCTTTTGATAATTTTTTATATTCAGGTGGAAAACGCGCTCTGATGGGCTTGAAATTGTAAAAATCGAATCTGTGGCTTAGTTATACCCTATTATGACAAAAAAATAAAATAAAAATCGTCAAAAATGCAAATGCGCTCCATTGATAATTTGATGGTTTTTGGGTCATTTTTCAGATTTTTTCGCCAGAATTTTGAAAATCCAAATTTCAATGACCCACCAAAGGTTTTAAATGTGATTTTAGAACAATTCCAACCGATCCGTTTGCCTCATTTCGTCCCATCATCCAACCGATTTCATCCGTCTCACAGAGTGTTAAGATATCCCCAAGTTCCGCTGTCATCTCGTCTGAATTGCGTTTTTCGAAGCTTCGAATGCACAAATATTTGATTTCGACGATTTCCTGCAAATTCGCTCTATTGATAATTTGTCTTTTTAGGTGGAAAACGCGTTCTGATGAATTTGAAACCTACTGGAATACACTCTGATGGCATTCTCAAGAATTTTGCGGTTTAAAAAAAGCGAAAAAACCGACAAAAATGTAAATGTGCTCTATTGATCATTTGCTAATTTTAGGTGAAAAACGCGCTCTAATAGACTTGAAGTCAATGAAAATAGGCTAGAACGACATTTTTAGTGTATTACAGTTAAAAAAAAACTAAAAAATAGCCTAAAATGCAAATGCGCTCTATTGATAATTTGGTCTTTTTAGGTGGAAAATGTGCTCTTTTGGACTTGAAGATGTGGAAAATTCTTGCTGATACCGTACAATGTCAAAAAACCCCGAAAAATCGACAGAAATGCAAATGCGCTCTATTGAGAATTTACTTGAATTTGGTTCAAAATGCGCTCTAATGAATTTGAAATTTTCTAGTTTTCCATATAAAACCTATAAACCTTATTTTTTGAAGCAAACGCGCTCTACCGAGACATTCTCATTGGAGCGCACTTACTGACCCCATTCAACGGCATAATTCCTCCTTTTCGAATCGGAAAAAGTGCCGATTTGAATGCCTCGACAATCTCTCTCAATTTCTCATATCGTTTTCCTTCGAAAAAATAGTGTGGTGTGGTGAGTTGGCGAATTCTGCAAAAAGTGGCCTAGGATTTTTCTAGGCCAGCACTCTTCTACTTACGGTATATGTTTCGGGTACCCGTCATTGTCGAGAATCGATAAATAGAAGCGTGTCGGACCGGTTTGGCGGACTAGAAATGCGCCGGGAGTGGTGCCCTGGAAGAGGAATTTCAAGGTGGCCGAGTTTTTTGAAATTCTAGGCCACGGCGGGTTTCAAAGGGTTCTCGTTGGCCTAGAGAGCTGATTTTTGGTGGGGTGATAGTTAAAAAGTTTTCTAGACCATTGATGGCCGAGTTTTGGATTTCTAGGCCACTAAATTTGGTTTTCTAGGCCACCGATTGAAATGTCTAGAAATTGCTGGAAAAAACCTGTAGCAAGCGATTGGCGTCGTGTTCGTTTAATTCTCCATGATACCACACATCTTCAGCAGAGATATCAGCTGGCCGGCTGTCGTGGGACTGAAAAATTTTTTTTGAAAAAACATTTTTTTAGAATTATTTGTCTTTTGTAAAAGTTTTTTGAAGCTAATTTTTGATAGGAATTTTCGAATTAAAACTAAGTTTTTTCATTGAAAATTTCAAAAAATTGGGGAAAAAATCTAACTTTTGAGAATATCGCCGGCGGACTGCCTTCTGCTGCATTAGGTGTGTTGTTTTCGTTTGAGTGGTGCAGCATAATTGCTCATTTGCACCTGAAAATCGGGAAAAATCGGTTAAAATAGCGGAAAAAGCAAGAAAATTAGGTGAAAATTATTTTTAGGAATTCAAAAACGCGCCAATTTAGGGAAGACGCATTTGCGCGTGGTGGTGTTTGCGGAGTGGTCGAGAAGCTCAAAAGAGAGGGAAGTTTGAATTTCAGAATATTCAGAGATGAATTTTCAAGTCAGAGGGGGAAAAAGGACATTTTCAGATGGGAAAAAAAACCTTAGCTTAAGATTTGTTAATTTTGCAGAATTTCGAAGAGCTTTTGCTGGGAAAAACAAAAATTCCCGCTCGAAAAAATGTGCAAAAAAGTTTTAATTACAGTAACCTTTTTTCATAGCTTTTTCAGCGATTTCTAGTCGATTTTTGTTGGATTTTCTAGTGATTTTTACACAAAATAGAGCTTTAAAACACTGGAAAATAGTTGAAAAAGCCGTTTTAACAAAGAGATTTTAACATAAAATGTTGTAGTTTAGTAGGGGGAGAAAAAGCCAGAAGGCATATTATTACACAAAAAGTTCGTCTTCTTCTTCTTCTTTTAACACACAAAGCAACAGACAGATCACTTTCTTTTGTGTCTGCGTCTCTCGCCCAATCGCAATCACTCGGCGCCCAACGTCTAAATGTCTGCGTCTCTCTCACTCTCTCACTTCTCTGCCTGTTCGGCCCGCCGAAGAGCACCGGAAGTTAGAACCATTGCGAGGGAAATTCAACAAAAATTGATGAATTAGAGAGTGTGAGATTTTGAGAGAGTGGTTAGAGAAAAAAAAATTGATTCGAAAAAAAAAATGTTCAGTCATGTGAAAAGAAAAGGGAAAGTGATAACATGTGATAAAAAATAGAAAAAAAAGTATTTACGGAAAGTACGCTCTACTGTATTAATACTTTTTAAATTCAAAACTCGCCGCCGCGGCAATCGCGCTCTACCGAACAAAAAAAGGAAATTCAAAAATTTCGAGAACGCAAAATATAAAGTTCAAAAGAGCAAAAAGAAGGAGCACCCGAAAAATGTTTCTGCTTTCCCTTCGCAATAAAAGTCAAAAGTCTCTTCATCCCATAAAAAAATGTCTGCGTCTCTTTTAAAATCTGTATCTCTCTTCCTAAAAAAGAGTTGGCACATGTCCCGGAAAAGTTTGTCCTTTTTTTGGGACCCCTTCATTTTCTTCCGCTCAATGTGGCAATTACAAAAAGAGGGAAATTCAAAAAAATCGGTAAATAAGTTGAATATCGTCAAATTTGAGTGCTCTAAAAAAGTACTTTATACTTGTCCGTTTTGTCTGAAATTTTCAGACAATATTAAACAAAAATAGAGCTTTATTTTTGTAATTGACACTTTTTTGATACAAACGCGCTCTAATGAGATATGGAGGCGCAGCAATCAGGCGCGCACCTGCAAGGCAAAGGCGTAGAAAAGGAGGCGTATCTCATTAGGGCGCATTTGTATCAAAAAAAGTCAACTACAAAAATGAAGCTCAACTTATGTTTAGTAACTTCTGAAATGCTCATATTGATCTGACAACTACAAAGTAGTTTTTAGGACATTCAAATTAGATTTTTTTGGCTAAATTTAGCATTTTTCTCTGTTATTTTTAAGTTGGTTTTAGACTTTTTGATCCTTGTCCGTTTCGTCTGAAATTTACCGACAATATTAAACAAAAATAGAGCTTCATTTTTTAGTTGACAAGTTTTTGCTGCAAACGCGCCCTAATGAGATATGTGGCGCACCAATCAGGCTCGCATCTCCAAGGCATAGGAGGTAGAAAAGGAGGCGTATCTCATTAGGGCGCATTTGCACAGAAAAGTTGTCAACTGCAAAAATAAAGCTCTATTTTAGTTAAGTACTCTCTGAAAGTATCATTATGATCCGACAACTACAAAGTAGTTTTTAGGGCATTCAAATTAGATCGTTTTGAGTAAATTTAGCATTTTTCCCTGTTATTTTCAAGTTAGTTGTAGACTTTTTGGTCATTGTCCGTTTGGTCTGAAATTTACCGACAATATTAAACGAAAATAAAGCTTTATTTTTGTAGTTGACAAGTTTTTGGTGCAAACGCGCTCTAATGAGATATGGAGGCGCAGCAATCAGGTGCGCACCTCCAAAGCATAGGGTGTAGAAAAGGAGGCGTATCTCATTAGGGCGCATTTGTATCAAAAAAGTGTCAACTACAAAAATGAAGCTCTATTTATGTTTAGTACTCTCTGAAATTTTCAAATCGATTGGGCAAGTAAAAGTTACTATTGTAGGCATCTAAACTTGGCTGTTTTTGGTAGTTTTCGAATTTTTTTTCGGTAAGTTGTAAGTTAAAAAATCGGAAAAATGGCAAGTTCGCTCTATCGCACAAATGTTCAATAAAATGTTTTTCACACTTTGAGAGAAAAGATAAAAATATCTCTTCGCCAGTGACCCCCAAACACAACCATTCTCCTTCTGATCTCTTCAATTTTCGATCGCTAACGGAGAACATTGTTTTCTCTATTTATCACAAAATTTGTATCATTTGAGACAATTTTCGATTCCAAAAAAATTTTTTTGAGACCTTTTTTTCAGGGTGGAAAAAAATAATATCTGAAATTGCGGAAAATGATGGGGGTAAGGGACAAAAAACTCAAAGTTTTTAGAAATTCTCGAATTTTACACTCTGCGAAGCTTGAAATTCAGACTGCAAGCTTTATGTTCGGCGGAGCGCGCTTGCGCGGCGCCAAAATTTGAAATCTTCGGTTTCAGCAGATTTTGTCGATTTTTATAGTTTTTTCGCAGAGTTTTCTGATTGAAATCGTTCAATATGTTGAAAAACATATCTTAAGTGCAAAAACAGTCAATTTTGACAAGAAATCACTTTAAAATCGATAATTTTCAAAAAATTCTAAAAAATGCTGAAAATGCTCAAATTGTTTTCTCTAAAACTACTGCTTTAACTTTTGAAAAATGTGTTTCAACCTAATTAGCAATTTAAAAAAGAGAAAATATCTGAAAAAACAATAAAATTAAGCTGAAAACCGAAAAAAAGAAATTTTGGCGCAGCGCAAGCGCGCTCCGCTAAACAAAAATTTGAATTTAAGAAATTCAGGTCGTTTTAAGTAAGAAAAAGAAGGTTTGAACATAGAAAAAAAATAGGAAAATTTTTCTGAAACTTCCAGCCAAACAATTTGGGAGATGTCAACGACATGCTGACACTATGTGAGCGATTTCCAGAGGATATCACTGGAAACGTTATCATCGACGTAAGGATCTTTTTTGATCTGAAAGTTTTTGAAATTTTTGGTTTCAGTGGACCAAATCAGTGGCAATCGCTGGATTCAAGTCTCCAGAAGATCCACAGAATTCGACTTCCTTGATTTTGGATGAATTGGAAAAAGAGGGAGTGGAAAGTAAACTTTCCTTTGAAAAATTTGAGAGTTTCAGAAAAAAAAATTTCAGACAAAGAGCTCAGATTCTTCAAATATGAAATGTGTTTTAAGGAAATTGAGGAGGAGATTCCGAAAATTCGGAGAAGTCAGCATAATGATGTAAGTTTTTTTTTGGAATTCTGCGATTTGTGGTTTTTTGGACTTCTTGAAAATTTTGAAATTTCAATATTTTCGGGATTTCTAACTCTCTGAATTTTTTGAATATCCGAATGTTCGAATATCTGAATTTCTGAATTTCTGAATTTTTGAATTCCTGAATTTCTGAATTTCTGAATTTCTGAATTTCTGAATTTCTGAATTTCTGAATTTCTGAATTTCTGAATTTCTGAATTTCTGAATTTTTGAATTTCAGATTCTGCCCTTTTTGTCTGAAAAATTCTGAAATTCTGAATTTGGAATTTTAAACTGTGCGGAATTCTAACATTTCAATTTTTAAGATTTCTCATTTTTTTCCAAATTAAGAATTTTTAAACTTCTTGGGATTTCAGTTTTTTTCTGAAATTTCCTGAATAATTTTTCATGAATTTGTGTTTTTTTGAAATTTACGGTTTTCTAGTTTCAGATTCGTATTTATCTGAAAATGTCTGAAATACTGAAATTCTAGATTTTCGGAATTCCGGGATTTTTGAGATTTTCGAATTTTCTGGACCTTCTCTATCTCCTATTTTCAGTTTGTTCTCCACTTGGCACCTCACTCGATGCCCAACACAATTCTCATCGAAACGACGGCATTTTTGTCGGGCTACAGTAACCCCGACAGAAATGGAAAAGTTCCAAAAAATTTCAAAGCTAAAATGGATTCCGAAATATCGGAATGGAAAACCAGAGTGGATTGTGAAGAAATTGTGAAGGCGTTGAATGAAAATTTTGAATTGGATGGGATGAAATTCGGAGGATTGAAAATTGAAAAATCTGATGATCCTGGAAGGTGGGAACTTTTGAAAAAAGTTATTCTTGATATTTTTCGTTTTTTCTAAATGTCAAAAAGTAGAAAACTTAAAGAAAATATTGTAAATTTGCAAGTTCGCTCTATTGAACAGCATTTTTTTTTTCGTTTCAGATCCATCGCAGGATTTACATATTATTTATCGCTCTGTGATGACGATTGGGCCACTCTTCTCGTCAAGGTTCCTCCGTTTGAGTAAGTACAGTAATCCAATAATTGACCTACACATCAAACTTCTGGAATTAGAAAACTTTGAATTTTCTTAATACTTTGAGTTTCCTGGAATCACCGGGTATTCCAAATTTCAAATTTTTGATTTAACAGACTTTTTAAGCATAAAAATAATATTTCCATTTAATTTTCAGTTTTACTAAAAATCTGAAATTCTTACTGTAATTCTATTTTGTTTCAGAGGAGAATGCACCAAGGAAGCTGTCACCAATGTAATTCGGGAATTGATTAAATTTGTTACAAGAAGTTATTTTTAGACTTTTCAAAGTTTTTGTTGTTCTGCTGAAATTCATTTATCCATTATTTTCCCCATAAAATTGTTAATTTAAAATCGCCTTTTAATAATAAATTTACTCAAACTCCTTTTCTGAATTTTTGAATTTCTGAATTTCTGAATTTCTGAATTTCTGCATTTCCGAATTTTTGAATTTCTGAATTTCTGAATTTCTGCATTTCCGAATTTTTGAATTTCTGAATTTCTGAATTTCTGAATTTCTGAATTTCTGAATTTCTGAATTTCTGATTTTCTTAATTTCTGATTTTCTGAATTTCTGAAAACATTTTCAATTTTAAGTGTTTTCGAACTAAAAAGATAAGAGAAAAAACGTTTATCAATCTGATATCTGACCCATCTCTTATCTCTTGTCAGTTGTTTCTCCCAATAAAATCTTTTTTCTTGTTTTCCGAAAAATAGAAACCGCCCGTTTTTTGATTTCTGAGATTTCTCAGATTCTTGTTTAGCAACTTCTTATCTGCAGGGTTCTTCTATCTGCAGGATTTTCAAAAAGAAACAATTTTTCAAATTCGAAAATTGTGGAAATCCAAGAGCAAGAATGATGGGGGTAAGTGGATTTTTTTTCGATTTTTTAAAAAGTTTATGTGTCTTAATTTGTAAATTTATAAATTTTGGATCAATCAAAATAGCAACTTTCTAAATCTTTTCAAAATGTCTTCATTTTTCAGGTAGATTGCCTTGGAGACGTCTCCGATATGCTAACAATGTGCAATCGAAGAATGCTCCTTCCTGATGTGAGCCATTTTTTTTTGATTTTCAAATTTTTGAATTTCTTGAAAAATTTTTTCTAAAAGCAACATCATTTATTTTCAGGACATCAAAACCGTCGTTATTACTGGTGAGTTCTGAAATGTCGTTTATTTGTTTTTCAAAATTTTAAATTTAAAAAAAAACTCTGAAATTTTCAGCTTGCAATGATCCATATGAGAATTCTCAAGAGAATCCATCATCAGAAGTTTTGGATGAGTTGATGAGCAATCCGGGAGAGCGTGAGTCTTGATCATTTATTTTGGTTTTTGGAAATTTTCTGTTTTTCTGGATTTCTAGAAAATTCGAAATTTTGACAATTTTGAAATTTTTGAATTCTTGAAATAACTGAAAATTTAATATCATCAGGATCTTGTTTTTGAAAAGTTTGTTTTGGAATTTCGGGCATTTTTGAATTTTTCAGAATTTCCAAACTTCTTAGTTTTTACGTTTTTTGAGTTTTTTGAATTTTCAAAATTTATAGAAACTTCGAAATTTCTGAGATCTCTGAAGATTCACATTTTTTTGATTTCGGAATTTTTTGAATTTTGAATTTTTCGAGTTTTCTGAAATTTTGGAACAATTATAAAAGATTCAAATTTTTTGAATTTTAACAATTTCTGATATTTTTCTTTGAATTTTAACAACTTGATACAATTTTTGAAATTTGTGGAATTTTCCAAAAGTCTTGTCCAGTTTTTCTGCTTCTCTAAAATTTTCAAATTTCTTTGATTTTCTAGACTTTTTGTTCGAATTTATAGTTCTAAAAATTTTATTTTTTTTTCGAATTCTGAATTTTCTGAATTTTAAACTTACAGGAATATTTGGGTTTTTAGCATGACAAAATCCAATGTCCTAAAATTGAAATTTCTTGAAATTTTCAAATTCTGAAAATTATAGAATTGCGGTTTTAAGAAGTAGCAAAATTTCTGAACTTCTGAATTTCTGAGTTTCTGAATTTCTGAAATTCTGAATTTCTGAATTTCTGAATTTCTGAATTTCTGAATTTCCGAATTTCTGAATTTCTGAATTTCTGAATTTCTGAATTTCTGAATTTCTGAATTTCCGAATTTCTGAATTTCTGAATTTCTGAATTTCTGAATTTCTGAATTTCTGAATTTCCGAATTTCTGAATTTCTGAATTTCTGAATTTCTGAATTTCTGAATTTCCGAATTTCTGAATTTCTTAATTTCTGAACTTCTAATATTCTGAACTTCTGAATTTCTGAGTTTCTGAATTTCTGAATTTCTGAATTTCTGAACTTCTAATATTCTGAACTTCTGAATTTCCGAATTTCTGAGTTACTGAATTTCTGAATTTCTGAATTTCCGAATTTCTGAACTTCTAAATTTCTGAATTTCTGAGTTTCTGAATTTCTGAAATTCTGAATTTCTGAATTTCTGAATTTCTGAATTTCTGAATTTCTGAACTTCTAATATTCTGAACTTCTGAATTTCCGAATTTCTGAGTTACTGAATTTCTGAATTTCTGAATTTCCGAATTTCTGAACTTCTAAATTTCTGAATTTCTGAGTTTCTGAATTTCTGAAATTCTGAAATTCTGAATTTCTGAATTTCTGAATTTCTGAAATTCTGAATTTCTGAATTTCTGAATTTCTGAATTTCTGAATTTCTGAACTTCTAATATTCTGAAATTCTGAATTTCCGAATTTCTGAGTTACTGAATTTCTGAATTTCTGAATTTCCGAATTTCTGAACTTCTAAATTTCTGAATTTCTGAGTTTCTGAATTTGATTTTTAGAATATCTGAATTTTTTTGAATTTCATTTCTTCAGACATCAAAATCTTGTCTCACAAAATCCCAACCACTTTCAAAGCTGTCAATAAGAAAGTTCCAGAATTGAGAAGAATTTGGCCACAGGTAAATTTATTACCCTACTAATTAACCCTTAATTATCTCAGCAAGTCCTTCATTTGGCTCCTCACTCGACGCCAAAAATCATTTATTTCGAGGCAAAAGCATTTTCCGATCGCTACAGTAATCCGGATAAAAATGGGAGTGTTCCAGAAGGAAATGCTATAAAATTAAAAGAGGATGACGATCGAAAAGTCATGGAACCATTTGTGGATTTTAAATCTTTAATGGATGAATTGAATGAAAAATTTGGGTTGGATGGAAACAAATTTGGAGGATTGAAAATTGAAAAATCGGAGAATATTGGGAGGTAAATTTCAAGAAAGTCTGAAATTCGGAAATTCGGAAAATTTCAAAGAAATCTGAATTCCTGAATTTCTGAAATTTCGAAGTTTCGAATTTTAGAAATTTTGAATTTTAGAGTTTTTAAATTTCTGGAAATACCAAATTTCAAAAATTCTGAATGTTTTGAATGTTGAATTTTTGATTTTTCGATTTCTGATTTTTCAATTTTTTTCAATTTTTCTTAATTTTTCAAGTTTTGAAACATTTTCAGATCCGTCGAAGGCTATCTCTATTTCCTATCACTTCGTGAGGGACCAATGTCCACTCTTTTCGTTCGAATTCCTCTATTTGAGTAAGTTTTTAAAATTTTTGCGGACATCAGGACTCACAGACACACAGATATATTTAACAACTATTTTTTGAAGCTCAACATTTTTGAAAATTTTTTTTGAAATCTCAAAATTGGTCCAATATAAATTTTTTTAAATTAAAAATTGTAAAAATTTTGATAGATTTTTTGTTAATAAAAAAAAAATTTAAAATCAAAATTTAAAAAAATATATACCGTAAAACCTCTAATAGAACGACACCCGGATCGTCCACTTTGAGCCTATATATCTCACTTCTTTTGAAAGATATCAAAAAGTGGTTAACTAGTAAAATG